CGGGATCTATGTGACCCAGTTTACTGGTTAGTGTTTTCATACCCTTCATTTGACCCCCTTGACCTTTTCCCAACCGCTACCTGCCTCGGCAAACATTTCTTGCCGTGATAACCTATCTGATGGCATGAGTAACACGTGCCCCAACCAACGTAGTTTATGTATTCTGACTACTTGCTCCATTGGACGACTGCGATTACCTAAGACTCTACACCTGGCCTCAGCATTGTTCATCCGGTTTGCCCATCAGAGTCGTGCAGTGCGACGTAGAGAGCAGTGTTCGAGCACTAACAACCCATTTTTATCCCGTTCCCGTAATGGCCAAGTCTCTGCACCGTAAAACAGAACTGGTCGAAATGCTGCAGCATATACTCGACCCTTCACAGACAGGAACTTCATGGTCATGATGATGTCTGGAGCCGGCTTATCCTTTCCAAGGAGCCAGCTGCAGCAAAGCAAGTAATGTATATATATATAATATTTCTCATTCGTTTGAGGCCAGACTGTGTGCCAAACAAATCATTGTACAATAATCCTCATAAAAGAAACGTTCTATGATTCGCACGCGGCCCGAATACTACCTGGATGCCCAGGCCAAGGCTGGTAAATATTCTTGGGGAATCCACAACGGGAGCCTTCGGATAGCCAAGGCTTGACCCGCAAGGCAGCGGAGCGGTGTGAAAACCGCAATCCGTTGGGTGCCGGCGTCCAGTTCATCTTATCAAACGCTTTTTGGACGGAGTCGAACGTCCAAGGTGCCCCATTCAGTTCAGTTCAGTTTGAACAACCATTAACCACGCATATTCGTGCGCCGGTTTTGGTTGCTGTCTTTTGGCTACCCGTTTGGATGACGAATAGGAGAAGAAAGGAAAGTTGAAAGTGGAGTCGAACAGAAAATGGAGAAGTTCAGTGGTCCAAGGTTGCGAAGAGATTGAGAAGATGCACGAAACGCCACTGGTTGCGACACCCAGCCATATCAGTCAGTGTCTCTAACCATCGGTTACGATCATCCCGAGGTCCCCAGCCAGGGAGCCTAACCGGACCTATATGACCCAATCTCCTGCTTAGGGTTTTCATACCCTCATGCCAGGTCTAAGCTTGACCACCCTTGGCTTTTTCCACTCGGTGTCTGCTTCGGCGAACATCGCTCGCCGTGGCAACCTATCTGGTGACATGCGTAACACATGTCCCAACCAACGTAATCTATGAAGGTCGACCACTTGCTCCAGTGGGCGACCGCGTATACCCAAAACTTAACGCCTAACCTCAGTATTGCTCATCCGGCTACCCCACCAGATTCGTGCAATGTTGCGTAGACATCGGTGTTCAAACACCGACAGTCTGTCTTTATCCTGTTTTCTTAATGGTCGAGTTTCTGCACCGTATAGCAGGACTGGCCGAACTGTCGCGGCATACACTCGACCCTTAACAGACAGCCGGATGTCGCGAAGGCGCCACAGTGCCCAATACACCTCGATGCCCAATCGAGCCGGTGACTACTAAGATAACCAAGGTGTGGATGAGTGTTGTTCGTACGCTTCCTCTTGTTCTGTTTGCAATCAATCAGGGTTTTTGGTCGCCTCTGAAAGCCCCAGTATGGTCGGGGGTGGGCGTCTAGGGTTGCGGTTGGTCACCCTTCCCTTGCACCTCGTGAAATGCTCCCATACGACCAAGCGTCTCAAATAGCCTCTGCTGAGGAAGCCCTACTGACTGCCTTCTCGGGGCGGAGGTGTTTTCCCGCCAAACTGGGAGGACGAAAAGCCAACATCCGGGGCTATAATCGGGTTGGTGGACCACTGGAAGTTCACTTAGGGGAGTTGACTAAAGCCCTGATTCCAAACCAACCACTCACACCTTTTCGGTTGTGACAGTGGTCACCGGCTCAATTGGGCCTCGAGGTGTATTGGGCTCTTTGGACGTTTAACCCCGTCCAAAAACCGTATAATTAGATGAACTAGACACCGCCCCTCAATGGATTGCGGTTTTCGCACACTGCCCCGCTGCCTTGCGGGTCAGGCTTTGGCCAGTAGAAGGCCTCGATTGTGAATTACTCGAGAAAATTCACCTGCATTGGCCTGGGCAGCCAGACAGTATTCGAGCCACGTGCGAATCGTGGAATGTTTTTCTTTTTTATAAGGATTATTGTACCATGATTTGTTTGGCACACAGTCTGGCCTCAGACGAGTGTGAAATATATGACTTTTGGTCAACTCCCCTATGTGAACTATCAGTCTTCCACCAATCCGGTTTTGATCTCGGATGTCACCCTTCGTCCATACACTTTGTTGCGAAAACACTTCCGCCACAAGAAGGTAGTCAGTAGGGCTTCCTCAGCAGAGGCTATTTGAGACGCTTGGTTGTATGGGAGCACTTCGCGAGGTGCAAGGGACGGGTGACCAACCACAATCCTAGACACCCATCCCCGATCATGCTGAGGCTTTCGGAGGCACACGTCAGCTTTATGCGCTTTGTTTCAGAAATCGAATTTTTAAAAATGTACAAATGATAGTTTAATTTAAATGATTTCAATTACGTATAAGGCTAGCGGTTTGACCTGGCAAGTTAGTTTCCGTTTGCTTTATCCCTGTTTCTATCAATTTTGTTACTTTAATCGTGACCTTGATGATCTGAAACGTCCACAAGCCAAGTCACATATGCCCGAAAGAGGCCTTATTCACATGGCTAGTTTGTGCAGTAGAGAAACAGTAAAATCTTTTATTTTTATTTTCCTTTTTTCCAAATTCGCTTTGTGTCCATCTGTTTTTCGAAAGTCCAAATACCCACTTTCATGTTTGCTGTCTCTTTGTTTGTCATGACTAGTCTTCAAGAAAGAATTCAAACGGGCAGTTTCCGCCGTGGCGTATGTCGAACACGGCGAGGTTAGTGGTGTAATACTTATAATACTAATGTCCTTCACAGGACCAGAGGCGTTATTTGATCCTGAAGGACTTAACCCGCAATAAAGAAAATATATCCGAAAGCAAATCGGTAATGCTTTTTCAGCTTTTTTTCCACGAACATCTCAGGTATCAACACAGTTTACACAAACTCCAAAAAAAGGAAACAAAACTCCGTCATCTAGACTACCTGTATCAAAAAACTCGAAAACTACGCGACCAACTCAAGTAAGTTTCTATGTATGTATAATATATATGCGTCAAGCATGGTACTAGCGCCACAACAATAATAACGGTAACAGGGGACCGGTGGATTAGTATACAGAACGGAATGAAAAGAATTGTTACAATAGATAACATTAAATAAGAGGAATGAGAACAAATGTTACATATGCAGAAGTGAAAACAGCTTTTGGGGCCTCATTTCGAGGTTGCTTCAAGATCAGTGTAGCAAGAGTTTATAAGAATACCGCGTTCAATGGCTGTATCAACCGAAACAACTGAAGAAGAGAAGAACAAGTTGGTGACGTATAAGTAAGCAGATGACATCTCAAGTTTGGACGAGATGTGATGTTGATAAAAAGGAGCTTAAAAAATGTGCAGTATAGATCAGGTTCAATAACAAGAAAAAAATCATACAGTGTACCTATTACTCTAAATGAGAACGAGTGGTTAGTGTGGAACTCGACTATGAGGTGCTTCAGAGCGCTTGTGTTGAATTTACTTGTTACGTCTGAGACTAACCAAGAGGCCTATGAGACAGATATTAAGGTATGCTTGTGTCCTCTACAACCACTAATGTAAGGTCACTGAAATTCAATTTTTCCAGTTACTCTGGGTATCGTACAACCAAACTAATCCAAGCTCCTGGAATTATTCTCTTGTTGAACGTATTTAGAAGTTGTATCAACCAGTGAGTGAAAAATTTGTACCCTTTCATGCGCATTTTTATGCACCTAGGTCTTAAGTTGCTAATTATACGATGAAGTTCCTTCCTCCTATAGAAAAAAACAGGTACTTCGTTTTCACTAGGAATCGTTTGTCGCTTCTATGATTTTCAGCTTTCGGTTCCCAAAAGACCTTCCTATTCAACCTATACCAGCAACGAGCCACGTCAGTGGTGGTTGGCTTCTCTGGATTGTCGCCATGCGGATATGGCTCGACTGCTTGGTTTGAATCCCAAATTGGTCGACTGGCATGTACGTCGATAATTCTTCCCCACTTTAATATCTTGATTGTTTTGTGTTGAAGATTTACCGCTTCTATTTGCTCAAAAAAACACTCATATAATACTCCGTTAGTCCTTGCTCATGGAAATATTCCTTACTGCAGAATGACGGTGAAACTGCTTACCACCAAAACATATTGTTATTGTCTTGGGCTTCATGCGAATCGAGTGTCAGTGAGATCTGTGAATTATAACTTTCAGTAAAGTCTAATGCAGACCTCTAGCCTCTACGCAGTCTCCCGGACTGAAAATTAGAATGTGATTTGTTTCTCCAAATATCATACCTGAGTAGTAGAGAATTTGGTTTGATCATGTGATGGATTTCGTCCCATACAGAGCAAATGAAGCTCGAACTAAAAAGGTAGGAAACACTAGACGTTTGTTTCGGCCTGGGTGAGTCTTGCCAAATATCACTGAATCCTTTCCATTTTGAACGTCCCCAACGAGTATCGGTTAGAAAGGTCAGCACATGACCGCATCATTGCTGGCACCAGAAACTGCGTTAAAAAAATTGAAAACGTGTTTTACTTTTGATACGGTCTTGATTTCCCAGAAAATTAGGCTCAAAGGTACCAATCAGTTTGTTACCTCAGCTTTTATCTGTTGAACAGAATTAAGAAAAATACCTTACAGCTGAGAGCGGCAGCACGTTTAACGGCGTCCGAACCAATTGTAACTGTTCGGTGGTCAAGATGAAAAAATAAAATAAAATTAGCCCTCAAATGCGGTGGAAAAGTTTGTGATAGTCGACAAAGTGCACCGGACTGTTTGGAACTTATCAGCAGTGCGTACTTTTTGCGTCCCTGTCAGGACTCGAACCACGAATCTTCGATTTTCGCCTTGTGCGAATGGCTCGATCAACTTAAATGGTGAATGTTTGGATTAGTCTATTCGGTTTTTAACAGGCACGAGACACTGTTGATGATGTTAGGTGAAACCCACACCCGCTAACTGATGAAAGTCATTAGTAGTTGTTGAATATAACTGTTATGATTTTTCTTGTCCTACTGACTTGAGTGAAAGAACAGGACTTGCTGACAAACTATCTTTCCACAGAATTTCATGAAATCAACCGTCTGTCCAATGTGCCTCTAGACTCCGTCACACTTTCCTGACTCCAGTAACTGCCAACGGCCCCCGGAATAGCGGGTCCCCTCGATTTTAAAGGCCGCAGTTGGACTTCAACAGTTATTTTTCACTCTTTTCAGAGATAAGTGTTTTATTGGAGTGGTTAAGCCAAAGTTGACAGAATTAGCTAAATAATATGTCCTCTAGCGCTGGCTTCTTTTAAATTACTTCTTTTTCGTGAACAAAAGTTGAGCGCATTTATTTTTTTAGTTATTCTGTGGTAACGGTTTACCGCTAGGGAGCGTCTTGTACACTTGATCCTAACTGTATAGTTATTTCTATTCNGATGCATATTACCCATGAATACAAATCCTTGGTCAACCAATTGGCCACCTATTTCGTCGATTGAGGTATAGAATGCAGCATTATTTATCGGAGATAAATCTGAGACACTGGAGCTTAGAAACCCAGCTGTGTAGCTTCCATTGCAGTTGATCCGAAGAAGCTGTTCTTTTGTCGAATACATGCACAAAAATATATCAATTATCCTGTGTAACATGTGATATTCATGTGCTCTTGTATTTGCACAGCCCCTTATAACTAACAGTAACCTGCTACGATTTTGCTTTATGAACTTGCTTTTTCTTCATTTGGTCTTCATTGGTTAACGAAACACAACAACCCAATCTAGAACGCGCAATCGTATGAGTAATGCTTTCTTAAGATTAGTCAACCTAAACGGGGTTGGGTTGAGTCGATTCATGGTTAAATGTGAAGTAGTTCAGTATGTCGGCTAATGATTCATAGGGAGCAACTTTATAATTCCGAACTTACAATATCAGCGTGACCACTCTTGTTTGGATTTGCCCACGTAATGTGTTCGTTTAAATCTCTTAGGTAGTAGTTCACTTTATAGACTGGCCCTTGTGTAAAGTCATATGTACGTNTTTAACACATGTTATTGGTTGATTGTCACCTGATCCGTCCACATAGTCTGTCATAGCAAGAGGAATTCAAGGAAACCGCATGTTTGTGATTGCCGTCTCTCTGTTGCTAAGATAACCCCACTGTCTTCAGTGGAATAAATTAGGGTCTACCTGTCTTTTATCATCGGGAAAAGCATCGTTTATTATACTTCTCGACCAAGCTGATCGCAGGTAACTATATTAGCCGTACGCAGTAGTTCAAATCCGGTTAGCTTTACAAAGTTGATACGCATGTACGCACATAGCAGAGCAGCCAGATGGGGTTTTCTGTGTTAGCCAACGCACCACACAGCGGAGCGAGCAGTTTAGACGGTCAAACAAGGCATTCTCAAACAGAGTGCAGGTACTCTGCAGACCGAACCAGACAGACTACCTTTTGCTTATCGAACAACTCCTACAGAAACAACTGGGCGATCCTCAGCTGAATTAACGTTCGATTGTACCCTCCGAACAAGGTTGTAACTACTAGAGCAAGAATCGAAAAACAACAGCAGAAGCTAAATGCACAATCATCTCGGACTGAAGACCGCTTGTACAATGTGTCCGATGCGGTTCATACGAGACTCCCACATGTATCTACATTGCATCTAGCTACAATCGTTTCATCTACTGGTAACACCACTACTCTGAAGCTCGGTGATGGGCGAATTGTTTGCAAACACTCCGACCACTTCGACCTCGCGTGACGAAAAGTCCCGAAATGGATGATAATCCATTCAGAACCGACCAATCAACTAGTTCTCTAAGTGTCCGTTCACAAACTACGAATATCCAACCAACAGGGTCCGCTCTACGCAGGTCTCAACACGTCCCTAAGCTAGTTGATCGCTATGGGGTAACAACGTACCACGTTATATAAGAGACAGATGAATGCGCACGCAGCATTCATCTGTCAGTTCCCATTGCTAGTCCAATCACGTGGCACAGTTGATCATGAGAGATACTGACTAATACCCTTTTAATCTCTTTTGTCTATGCGCCAGCTTGACCTAGTTTTAGGCCATCGTTTAACCGATTGATGTATTCTCATGATCATTCATTAAATCGTTAACCCGTTTCCGACCAGCATGCTGTCTTGTGTGTTCTTTTTTCTTATGTTGGGTTACCGGCCCCTAAAAATATTGTGCGTTGCGTCGCGGTTGGAATTCGGTCTTAACAGAATGTATGCGCTGTGTTCGCTTTAGAGGTTCATTTTCTTTCCCTTCGTGAAAATGGTTCAGTCCCTGACCAGCTTAAACATTCTCACTCGCCTTGTATGCATTGTGTGTTTGACAGCGATCAGCGAAGTTCGCTTGATGATGATGACCGTATGTCGAAAAGCGCTGTCCCATGAGGCTAAAAGTTGCACGTTTTTTGGATTGATGACAGTCATTTCAATCTTTTATCAAAGAAGGACGATCCATTGTCGACGAGGGTGCTGTGGTAAGAACTACTGTTCTCGTGGTCCGAACTTCTGATGAAAGCGGTGGACAAACAGAGTGTAGTGGATATGAAAATCCATCGCGGGTACTTCACAAGTGAGAAATGAAAGTAGTATTTTTGCAAGGTTTGGGAGCGATAAACTCTATTCCCTCTTCTTTATTTCAAAGATTATAAGAGTATATTCTCTGATGTGTTTATATCTCAGAGGCTGTTTTTTATTGCACACCTAAGTGTCATGAACAGCAGACGGGGCGAACCCCATGGTCACGAGGACCTGCTGTTCAGTGGTGGAAACCGGTAACTTAAGCTCCGGGACTTGGAGTGGAGAACCAAATAAGGCCTCGCTAGGTTAGGCGTGGTATCGAACCGGACGACATATTATTCACCTTCATTTACAAGGGATACGCAATTGAGTGGTAGTTCAGTCATCCCGAGTTGGGAACAGGCGATTGAACACCAGTAGCCTGTGTTCAAGACATGCATTCATAAATTCACACCCATTGAATTCCGAATGGCAGCGTACTTCAACTGGATTTGATGTCTGAAAAAAGGAGCTCTTTTTGTCGGATTGGATAGCTAAGACGCATCTTTCCTTTGGTAACTTTTAAAAAGAGTAGCCACTAAAGCAATATTGCACTATTTATGCTCAGGGCGATTTCATCGCATCTACGCTAATACTCCAGATTGCTGAAGTGGTTGCTGTCCGTCGATGCGGGGTTTGTTTTGACCGGTCAGCTACCCTTCCCCGTGTTTGTTTGATGGAGTGACCACTGCAGGAATAGAGAAAGGAAGCCAGGTGATACCCAAGCAGCTGGCCTTGTGAGACTGAGCTTCTTCTGTTCTCTACCTTTTGACCTTTCAGGCATGATTGGATCTGCGGCTTTGATGAGCCATCCTGGATTTCCCACAGGGTCATGGAGGCGAACCAGCTATCACGCATTGACAAGGTGCAATCTCGTTGTGATGGAGGGTACAAACACAGTCAGCTTTTCGTTTTTTTAATTCCTATACCTGAACAGACGAATCGCTCAAATTAATTGCAAAAATCCCCAGTGTTCGAAGCTGAAACTGAAACTGTGTCCTGAATGTGGAATATAAGATAACGATGGCAGGGTAAATGATCGACAGTTATTTGTCCAGTAGGACTGTCAACCATTGGGTTAGAGCCCTATTTTTGCTTGCAACAACATTTGGTTTCAGAACTCCCCCGACCCCATGTCTGCCATTTTATCCATAAGCATTGGAATACTGCAAGTTTTTTGCCATGGCTTAACAGCTATAATTGCCTGTTACTGAATTCATGTTTGTTTATTTCAGTGTTGTATCATTCTTTGAAAGTAGCCGGTTTGTTCTCACCGAACAGTATTATTTTACCGTAGCCGATATACAGGTCTAATCGAAACTGAAGCAACGGGTCCCCTGTGAAACACTTATGGGTTCGTATACGCAACAGCATTTATACTGAAGTAATTATTTTTTCCAAATAATAATAAACAAACCTTGATGA